TGCCTCCTCACCTGGGGGGTGCTGCTGAGCCCCAGCTGCAGCACAGCCTGGCCCCCCTCCACGCTGGAGCACTTGATGGACTTGATGTGCTTGAACTCGGCCAAGCAGGTGGGCTGGGGAGAGAGACAGAGCCCCAGCCTCGACTTTAATCACTAATTAAAGAGCAGCCCCCACCCCACTTCCCATCCAGCATCCAACCCCCCTGCCATACCTTGGCCTCCTTGCTTGTCATCTGCCGGATCCCCTTGGGTCCAATGACCAGGTCCACCGTGATGTTCCACCCTTGCTGGAGGGGACAGCAGAAGGAGGATGTAAATTTGGGGGAGAGGGGGATGTACTCCCTTTTTCCCCTTCAACCTGCTGCAATGTGTGAGACACTCTGGGAAAAAATCACCTTCCCAGAGGGGTTTGGAGAAGGGATGGTTTGGAGAGAGGAGATGGCTGGAGAGGGGAGATGGTTTGGAGAAGGGAGATGGTTTGGAAAAGGGATGGTTTGGAGAAGGGACATGGTTTGAAGAGTGTTCTCCTCACCACCCTAAGGATCTTGAACTCCACCATTTCATGGTCATTGCAGCCATCCCATCCCATCCCATCCCATCCCATCCCATCCCATCCCATCCCATCCCATCCCACCTCACCCCACCCCACCCCACTGGGCGCACTCACGATGAGCTCGCAGCGGTAACTCTCCTGGTCAATGTTGGCAAAAGTGGAGAGGGTGTGCAGGAACTTGAGGATGCACTCCTCCTCCCGCAGCAGCGCATACTGCTGGAAGGTCTGCTGGATCATCTTCCGGAACTGCTTGGGCTACGGGTACAGTGGCCACTCTCATGTGCCAGGTGCAGAGGGAGCGAGCTGCACATGGACACAGGCACGCACACGGCATACACATGCACACAAGCACACACATGCACACAAGCACACACACACGCGTGCACTCACTTGCAAACATGAATATGCTCATGCATCTGTGCGCACACACATGCATGTCCGCGCGTGTGCGCGTGCCTCCGTGGGTGTGTGCTCACTCACACGCACTCGAGTGCGGACAGATGTGCACTCATAGCAGTGTGCACACACACAGCCACGTGTGTGCACACATACATGCATGTGTGTGCGTGCAGATGCGTCATCACGCGTGCGAGCAGATGTGCCTGCACGCATACATCTGCACGGATATACATGCGTGCGTATGCACACGTGTGCAAATAACACCTTCGTGTGCGAGCAGACGTGCCCACACACGCGAATCCACCTGTGCACACTGGTACAAGCAGGAGCACACACGGCCATGTGTGTGAATGCACACGCACGGGCAGACACGCCTTCACGAGCGCGTGCACAGCTCCACGAGCGCGGGCAGGTGTGCATGGACACGTGTGTGCAAACCCACGTGTGCGCACTGCTGCCCCGTACGTGCGCCGATACACGTGTGTGCATGCAGATACATCTTCACAAGCGTGCAAATCCACGTGCACGCTTAGATGCACCCTCAGCCATCTCCATGCATGCTTACGCCCCTCGCACCCATGCACCCAGCCCTGTGCGCACGCATCCCTGCCCATGCACGTGTCCCTCACCTTCAGGTTCTCCTGCATCTGGCTGGGGAAGAAGAGGTCCAGGCCCACCTCCTTCCTGCAGAGCACAGTTCCCCCCCTGCACGTTAAGGGCCCCACAGGGACCCCCGCTCCCGGGAGTTGCACACCCGTGGAGAGGGGATGGGGGCACACCAAAAAAAGCGGGTGCTGGGGGACAAGGAGGTGCTCCTGGGGGAGAAGCCCTCCAACCCAGCGCAGGGTGAGAGGTCCCCGTCTCCTTGCAGCCACCCCAATGAGGAAGATGAGCTGGGGTGGCCAGGTGGGGGGTTTAGGGGTGCGACGAGGGGGTGCCCACTCACTCCAGGAATTCGAAGTTGGATTTCTTCTCCAGCGCATTGTGTGGCATGTCCTTGTAAAACCTCCTGCGGGAGCGGGGAGACGTCAGGTGGCCCCTGCCCTCGCATCTTCCCCACGGCAAAGCAGAAGCTGGGAACTCCCTCCCTCCCCGCACCCCGACCCTCTCAATGCCCAGTGCCACCCCCCCGGGGCAGCAGGACCCAGGGACACATACCTGAGCTCGAGGCAGCCCAGCTGCAGGGCCATGCCCTCGCTCACCTTGCTGGCGTAGCTCTGCATGTACTCGCTCCGCAGCTGCCGGGGAAGATAGGGGTTCAGGGGTGCAATGGTGGCTGGCAGGGGGTGCTCGCAGGGGGTGCTCACAGGGGATGCTGCAGGGGATGCTTGCACGGGATGCTTGCAGTGGGTATTTGCAGGGGATGCTTGCAGGGAGTGTTTGCAGGAGGTGCTCTCGGGAGATGCTTACAGGGGATGCAGGCAGGCGATGCTGGCAGGGATTTTTTGCAAGGGGTGCTCACAGGGGTGTTTGCAAGGGGTGCTTGCATGGGATGCAAGCAGCAGATGCTTGCAGGGGCTGCTGGGAGGGGATTCTTGTAGAGGATGCCTGC